CTGTCCTTTGTACTCCCTCGGGGGCTGTCTGCACTGCTCCCATGGTTGCTCTGCTGCATGCTTTTTGTGGTTTGCCGCGGTGTCTCAGGGTCAGTCTGGGCCAGTCCCGACAGAGTCTCCAGTGTTGTCCCCCTTAGAGCCTGGCGCCGTCAAGGGATGGCGTGTCTCATGGTGGGATCAGCCATATTGTCCACTCTGTCCACTGGCTGCTCAGAGCGGGTATGTCGTCCTCCAGGCCTGGTGGGTCAGGATGTGCTCCACTCTCACTTCCGCCCCCTAAGTGCTCCCATGTGCTCTGATCAGACATGCCCCTCTCCCCTATTTTGTTGTTTGTTATTTTAATGATTTTGAGTTTTGTTCCGTCCCACCCCAACTCTATCCAGGACCATTTATTGCGATCCTCTTCAGAGTTTATCAGCAGTAGTAGCTGGGTACCATGTAGTTCTTCTGGTCTCAGGTCCGTGGAGGGTAGAGTTCCTGTGGTCCATTGGTTCTTTGGATAGATAGTGCCCATGAGTCTTTGATTTCCTCGCTTTACACTGGATGGGGAGAGAGCAATAGGTGCACCTCAGAGGGCTCCTTGAAAGTTTTTAAGGATCCCCACCCCACCCCTAACCCCTCCTGTCACTACTTCGCCGAAGTAGAATTAGAACATGTGTCTGTGGACTTTATTATCCCACTTGACTTTGATATCACCTCAACTATGATCCTGAGTGTCAGCATCAGTATGAACTAGTGAGTCATTGATCCTAGTTCTCTACTTCGCAGCCTCCATCAAGCAACAAGCAGTGCACAATGATGTTTTTAAATGTAACAAGTAGTCAAAGCAGTGATTGGTGATATGACAGGACGCTTGTATTAAGGCAGGGATGTGGGTAAAGTGTTTGTTTTTTGGCCGTGATAGGGCTTTTCCAACTCAAATATGTCTAGATTATCCATAAAGGCCTTCTCAATCGATGGGAAACGAGTGGTTATTATTTGTGGACTCTGGGTAAGAAATGGCTTCAATGGCTGTGGCTGGGCTCCGATCAGGTTAGGCAGATTATGAAAACGGGAAAGACAGGAGCGGCTTGATGGGTGGGAGCGGTGGACAGACATCTCTTCTTACTACAGCACTTTGCTTTCCATTCTGAGAAGTGGTAATTGAGAGTGGAAGTCAAAGAGACCCAAGATGTAAATTCAGTCTTTAGTCCAGTTGTCTGTTACTGCCTTGCTAAGGAGGTGTGATGGCTGTGATGGGTTATGATGAGGCTTGGGGAAGACCGAGAATTAGAAGTCTAGATTGTAGAGAACAGAGGTGGATTGGCTGAGAAGACAAAGCTTTTGCTGACTGAATGGAGGACAGGCACATAAATTGATTTTATGGTGGGAGGTCAGGATTAGAGTGAGGGAAACATGAGTCTTTTCCTAAGGAGAGGAGCAGGTGCATGTATTTTATCATATTTACACATGTTTACACATCATTGTTACACCTTAGAAACAGATTTCATGTGAATACTCTGACGATTTCTAAATAAGTAAGAAGTACAATTTCAGGGTATTCCCATCTCAGGTATTTACTGCTGGTTACTGAATTTATTTAACAAATGATTGCCTCAGAATTTGACCCGGCATTCAACTTCAGTCCTACCTGCATGCTGTTGTTAGCGTGACTGTCTGCTTTGTGTCCCTGGATGTTTACGTCTTGGAATATGAAATAGAGCTAGGGGTGTAAAACAGTGGTGTGGATCAGGATGCAAATGTGTGATCACTGCTCTAGTAAGCCTACTGAGTCAACCCGTCCCTGGGATCTCACAGAATGTGGAACTCTGTTGGGTTATATAGCCAAGATTTGCACCAAATGTGATTCTTTAGTATCTAGATTTCAGGGAATTGCTAGGTAGCAGCTGTTGATCCTCTAAATCGCTGCTTGACAGGAATAGGTAAAACTCTTCGAGCCCATGCATTCATGACTGGATTTGGTGACTAGCAAATCCATTTGTATCCCTGGCTCTGCTGTGAGCGAGGCATCAAAATAAACTGCACTGCTTTACATCTATTCTTTACGTAAGCTCTGTGCTCTGTACAAAGTAATGCATTTCCTTGAAAGCATCTTGCCCTTTTATCTATAATGGAAATCTTTTCCATGGGGGTGAAACAGGTCCATCTTTCTAACCTCCAGTCCCCAAGGAAAGGCACAAGGGGCAAAGTATTTGTCAATAATTGTGCCTGGACTGTACCATCTCCATTTCTCCTCCCCTCCCACTGGTTCCCACTGCAGCCTGTACTTCCTCTTTCAGCACCAAGGACACTGTATAAACCCCCCTGCTCTGTAATGGCTCCTTTAGACTCCCTATGCCTCCTTGATATCCTTACCACAGCACAGGTGTAAGGTGGATGTTTAATAAATACTTATTGAAGGAAATTTGTTTTTTATCTTTTTTAAAGTGAACAGTCAGGCCTACAAAGTATAATCAACACTTTGTATTATATGCAGAACCTAGATTATGGATGAATTCTGTTCCTGTTCCTAAAGCTGTGTTTAAGTCTAATTTGAACCTAAGTAGGAACAGGTAGGTACAGTTCTTTCTTAGCTAACATAACTTAGTAGAACGTTTGTCTTAGCATATATTGCACAATGTACCTTTCTATGCATTAAACAAAAAAAGTAATCACTTCCAGATACACAAAATCATCTTTAACAAGATACATAGTGTTTTGATGCATGTTACAAAGAAGCATCCATTTGTTTGTATGAATTACTGTTCCTCACATTTGTATGAATTACTGTGGTATGACAGACCTTTGTGGGGTTGGTTCACAATGACGGGTAGCTACCAAAGTTTGTACATGCTTTTCTTTCATCTGTATCAGATTCAAGACCTTGTCATGTACTCCTACGACCTCTCCTATCATCATCCTCCATGGAGGCACCTTTGAGGAGTTAAAATGTTTGCATTTCAAATCACGTGGGTCACTAACTTGCTGATTTTACAGAATCACCTAGGGCCAACTCATCTCTTATGAGCACTGGTAGTGCAGTCTTTTAGTGGGTTATGATTATTAGGATGCATTTCGGCATGTGTAGGATGTCACTTTAAAAAAATACAGAAGTGAGAGTTGTGTCTGTAAACTGGAGGCACTGTCCATTTTATCATGCTTGGTATCTCTCATAAGAGTGTCCACTTTCTGGAGAAAGGAGGAAGTTAAGCATTGAACCTGTTGCTTTATTCACACCTCAAGTTCATCAGGCCACTTCCTGCTCTGCACTCAGTGCTGGCCCTGGGAACCAGAAGAAGCTTGCCGCGAATGGGGCTGACTTGTGTTTTCCTCTGTGAAGGGTACTTCACCAAGACATGCCGTCTGGCATCACTATTCCTGGTACCTGTATCTCATTCTTCATCTGATGCATTTAAGAGGGCAGTGTGGTAAGGGTGACCTGACTTTAGTTTCTGGATCCCAATGATTTCTCCACCGCTGCACTTTTTCAGTCTCTTCATAAAGCTGCAACAGAGGAGGAAACATGAAATTAGCTTGTGGGGAAGGGATCCCCTTATACCATTACACAGGGTTATTCTTAAAGCATTCTCCCTATCTGTCCAATAATATGTTTACTTGGTTACATAGCTGATTTCTCAAACAGTACTTGTTCACTCATACCCAGTAGACTAAGGGATTCAGGACTAAAAGTAGTTAATGTGATAATCGACGAGGCAACAGGATTAAAGCTCTGCCCTTTAATTCTGTTCCCTTCTGTTTGATCTTCATGGAACTCTTTCTGGGTGAGGTTACCTGCTTTTGGTCTATGGAATTAGTGGCGGGCTGGGGGAAGGGACAATACAATTTATCACAGCAAATGAACGTACACTGAAAGTCGTTGCGATTCAGGGTGGACTCTGCCATGTAATAGTTATGCACTGAACCTTTTGAAGCCGTGGTAACAAGAAATTTCGTGAAGCGAGGAGGCTCAAATGAGACAACATTTTTAGGTGCTTGCTTCAATGCCTGGAGCTCAGTAAGTGCTTAGTCATTCTCAGCTAAGATGTATAACTGAAGAGCACTTTCTCCTCTTGTGTATTGGAGTGTAACAGGACCTCTGCATGGTAGGCAGGACAAGCCCAGATGGGCTTCAGGTGACACACTGACAGAGGAAGCACGAAGGCCGGTATTGATCTCTGATCTAGAGTTGTCCACCACAGGCTTCAAGAGTGCCCGAACTGTCCGGAGCCTGAGTGTCCTGGTTTCTGTGACCACGACAAGCGATTGGTTGTAATACGTTTGTGGCACGTGGGGAGTACCTTGCAGATCGTTAGTGTTCACTCAGCACTGCTGGGTTATAACATATGGGCACTAGGGGTGCCAGTGATACACTGTGATACATTTATAAAGGGAGGGGTCGGTTAAAAGGAAAAGACTCCACAAGTAACCTTGGTCCAGACGTACCATTGAACAAGAGCGTAGTTGGAGAGTACAATGCAGAGAGCACCCAAGCAGTGCCAGCAGAAGCACATGGTGATGAACATGATATTCCCGTGATCTTTCTGGTCCCACTCAGGTCTTCCAAAAGGCGGGAACAGGACGAACCCAATCTAGTGGAATACAGAGAGAAGTCGGTCTGGGCGAAACAACCTTCCCTCCGGTGGCTGCCAGCGTTGCTCAGTCAGTCTCCATTTCTGACTGTCATTTCTTTCCATACTTTTATTAGCATGAGAAAGGTCCCTTCCCTTCAAACATTTGTAAAAATCATTTTAGATGTGCAGAATAGTCATGACGGTAAGGAGGGATCGGGTCCTTTCACCAAGCTTCCCGGGATGTGGACGTCTGCCGTAACCATGGTGTGTGGATCAAAGTGGAAGTAAACATTGGTGTCACCTTACTGACTAAACCACAAACTTGATTTGGACTTCACTAACCTTCCCGCTAATACACTTTTTTTTGTTACAAGACACCGTGTTGCATTTAGTTTGTAATAGCTCCTTAGTCTCCTGGGAGCGGGAATAATGTCGTGGAACTTGGGTGCCCGTATCACTCTCGAAAGCATTCGTTGCAGGTGATTATGTGCTCAGCTGCTAATCAAAAGGTCGTCAGTGATTGGAATGTGCCAGTGGCTCTGCAGGGAGTCAGACCTGCTTCCTTGAAGGTCACCCCAGGAAACCCTGTGGGCTGTTCTCCTCTGTCACTTGGGGACCCTGTGCATTAGAATCCACCTGAGAGCAGCTATAGTGCCCTCTCATTTATGATCGTTTCTGAGTTGGGGAGGCCTTTCCAAGCAGAACAATGGTCTTAAGTTGATTCTGGTTTTATTCCAGTTTTGGGTGTTTTTTTTAAATATTCAGAAGTAGAAACTGCAAACATTTATATTTCCTCCAGTGATGACCACAGCTTAGAGGAATATCTGCTTGCTCTGTGTGCTTCGTGGAATCTTAAAGCACTAGCCAAGTATTAGTGGATAAAATGACATAGGTTAAGGGATGGTGGCAGGGAGAGAAAAAATAGCTATTCAAACTTACTCACGTGGTATGTGAAGGCTTTATGTCCGGGCAACATGTTCCCTTCAGGATTTCTAGTGAGCATGCTCATTAGGACTTGCTTAATCCATACAGCGTATGGAGCATTGACTGGAATAATTACCTGCCAGAACCAGGTTCCCTGAAGAACAGTAAGAGTGGTTCGGAAAAGTTCCAGCACAATATTATCCCGGAGGATCACTTCTAGGAAGAGACAGGCGGTCGCACCAAACAGGGGAAACAGCAGGAGTGAGTGGATGTGTTGATCCAGTGGTGGTCGGTTTTGAACGTGGAAGTAGAAGAGGAGACCTGCCACAAACCAAGTTCTAGCCATCAGTAATGTACTCATTTGCACTTTATAGAGTATGCACTTGCTTTCATTAGCATGTCCTCCCATATTTATCTTAAATCTAGATTGTTCAGCACTTGGGAAATCAGTTTACAAAATAGGGAGTAACACGCAGATTAGACTTCATGCGTATATATGTTAGGTGGGTATAAGTAAAAACTGATAATACCTTTGTTTTTACCCTTCTAATAATTCCTATAGCACCCATTGGAGGGTTCAAAACCAAATGGGTAGGTGATTTATGACAAAAACTATATAAAGGAAGTCAAAAGCTATTGCTACAGAAAAAACCTAACCATTATAGAAAAGCTCAAAATGAAGTTACTGTTTCTCAGCATATCCCCCATGGAGGTCTGGACACTTGAGAAGCCAGTTTCATCTCTAACCTTTACCCATGCATTCTGTGCTCTTCCATTTACACCACTTCCAAACAAGTTCTGGCATCTGTGAGGAACTCCGATCCATTGCTTTGAAATGTATGTTGAATTCGGAGCGTGAGTTAAAGTTCTAGTCAATTAACATGGCCCTTCTAACTGTAATCCCTTGTAGCATCTTCCCCGCATTATAGGCCGATTTTGGAGGGAGTGCTGTGGTGTAGGTACTAAGGATCCCAGTGGGATTAGCGCTCCACTTCAGAGGGTCTGAACCGAGACAACACCTTTTGTTTCCTTGGGGACATGGTCCATGGAAAGAAAGACTCCACACCTCCAGCTGAGCTAGTCCCCTGTGTATACGAGCCATCTCGGCAGGACAGAACAGAGGAGTAACTCTGAGGCTATGTAACTGAGGCAGAACACAGAGGCTGAAGACCAAGAGCTGTTTCTGCGGTCCTTCGACAGTCTCCTTACAGCTTACGCATCCTGATGCGTGGTCACCTGTTAACTTCCCTAATAAGCCCCCATAATTGTGTTTTGTCTGAGTTCTGTCTGGCCATTGTAACAACTTATCAAACTTGGTGTAGTAGAGTGCCATTGGGAATGATTGGTGTCAGAATAGGATAAAGGAGCGTGGAAGCATTTCTGACCCAGCGCACATGCACGCATACCTCTATGCCACTTACTACGGGTTGAGGAGGTAAGGTTTCCCAAGGAAACTCATTTAGGACAGCCCTTCACTATCCTTGAATGATCAGGTACATTGTGGAGCTGGACGGACTTGTCAAAACTTTCCTGGCCTTCCCAGTTTTCCTCATAAGCCCCTGCAATGGTCCTTTGTCTTTCAAGAAAATCAAGATGATAAGCCTTTGCGGTTCTTCAGCAGTGAACATAACCTGAGCTGACCTCTCTGCTTGGCATTGAACTGGCCCACCAGATAGAGCCCTGAACTGTTTTGATGGGACTTTTTTTCAATGGCATGTTTAACATGACTGAAACACTGTATTACTGAATCGGTAACCATTCACTGATCACAAAGACATACTTAAATATGTTAGTGTGGAATAACCCCTGGGGCGCTGGACTGGACCCCTCGTAGCAATACTTATTTATGACGCTCAGATGCAGACTTAGACACATACATTAACTTTAAAGTCTCTGCGTCGAGTCCATTCTGTCATTGTACATACTGGAAATGCACGTGCACCCCATTCAACCTTTTATCAACCCTTCCCGAGGTACGGAGAGAGGTTGTTGGACTCCGCTCATACGAGCTGCCTTAGCAGTTGGAATGGGCTCCCTCTAGGTTTGTGACTGAGTTAAGATGACAACACCTCCAAACTGGAGGGTGGAATGCAGTGCGGTATTCCTGGGAGGGCTTTTGCAATCTTAGCTGGGGGCGGTATTGGAGCTTAAATTCTAAGCGCTTCATTTGCAGAGGCTATGGGTGATAGTGAAAGCCTTAAATCCATTTGCACCACCCTTCTGTAAATTAAATTTCCATTAAAATCCTTCTGATTATTAACCAAGGATATAGATAATCTTGGTGGCATAGTGTTTACCCATTCGGCTGTGATCCAAAAGGTTCGAGGTTCAAAACTGGCAGCCCATTTCATGGAAGAAAGGCAGGGTTTTCTATTCCTGTAACAGTTAAAGTCTCAGAAACTCACAGGGGGCAGTTCTGCCCTGTCCAATAGGGTCTCTAAGAGTTGGCATTGACTCAATGACAGTGAATTTTGGGTTTGGGTAGTTTTGCCCTCAGAGTGCAAGTGGGACTTGCCTGGGTATGTCCTTGGTGGAGATCAACTTACTGGGGACAATGACAAACTCAAACCAAACTTGCTGCCATTTCTGACAAATATCGACCCTGTATAGGGAGTCTCACAGTTATGCCTGGTCAGTTGTACCCTGACTGCCATAGTCAGAAGGCCTGGTAAGTTAATATGTCTCCCAACTGTGGTCCTGTTCCCACGTATGTAACTGTGATGAATATATTGATCTGCCACCAGCGATGAGTTTGTGACAGTTTCTTTTTGTTCCATACCTTCTTTAATTCCATTCCTGACCTCATGCTAATGACCCCCCTCATCAGGATGATTTGTCTGCCTTTGGCCCTTTAAGCCTTGTATTAGCGCTTAAGTTCTGATCACTCCAGTTTGCAAAAGGCTGTGATGGCAGTGATGGCCCCAAAATCTATTTGCAGGGTCCCAAAATAGAGTAAGCCTCTATTGAATGTTTTATGATCACCAACCAAGGATGTAGATAAGCTTATCCTCAGGTAGAATGCCTTGGAGAATGGATTGCTTCCACCCCTCTCCAACCAGCCCGGGAGGGCAGTCT